ATCACCGTGCCAATTAGAAGCTTCTGCGATCATAGAAAAGTCACATAACCTCTTTGGACCTCAACGTCCCAAATGTTAATTTACTGAAATTTACAAGAGGGGCTGGATGGGGATCCAGAGAGCAAACATTGAATTTACTTCTCATGGGGTCATTTAAGTATGTGTTTGTTTAATATTGACATTTTCTAACTCACAGATACCACAGAAATGTTTATTTCTGCATAGACCACTGCTAGAAAGCCTGAAAGCCTTTGCTTCTTGCTACAGTTGAACCTGCTGGGTCCACCCCTAGTCAGTTCTTTGGCCAACTGGAATTGCCGGGCATTGCATGAGCTCCATAGCAAAATATCATTATTTAGTACATTTAAGCGTATTTGCTTGTAACTGATATGGAGTGAGTGAATTTGTATTACTTTGCCACAATGGCAGGAGAGACATTTTAACAACTGACTGTATTTAAACTGTGGTGGGGACCTGAAGGAAGCAATCATGAGATAGAAATCACAACAGAAGGAAGGACTCCAGTGTTTCAGCTAGTCCTGGTGAAAAACTGGACTTCAACTGATTCCTACAGGAGAAGAAATCACCCATGCGGGCAGAACAGTGGGGACTTACAGGTAAATGAACCCCTTCCTAAGTGGACCCCATGCTGAGGAAGAGGTACTTCCTTCAAGTTCTCAGAGCTTTTATTATGCTAATGTGTATCATGCCTGCTCAGAGAGGGCTCCAGCATAGGCTCCGCCCACCTCTAAATCTAGACTCCTTGCTAAAGTCAGTCTTCAAAAAGTGCTAGACATGCATGGCTTGCTCCATTAAGGCCCCAAGACCCCGGTGACTGGCAGTGTGCTTTACTTCTTCTCTGCTCACAGCCTGCTGACACTGCTAATTATTCACAAAGTCAGAACTGGTTCTTAGAATCCTGGAAGGACTCAAAGTGGGGAGAGTTCCAAAGACAAGATTGTACATGCACCCAGGAAAGTTAGCTGTTCAAGCTAAAGAGAGACTATGCAAAAAAATTTTATTTTTAAATGACTAATCAACAGTGATAATCATCTGTATTATTAGTTCTTAAGTCAAAGACAGAAAGAAAATGAGGAACAAGATGGCATGACGGCCACTGTTTTTATTGGTTAACAATAAATGTATCTGTATAGAACAGCCTGTAATAATAATAATAATTATTATTATTATTTTAGTCACAAAAAATATACTTAGCATTTAAGTGAATATTCCCATTTTACTTTTCCAGAGCAAGCTTGCGCTCTCCTTTCTGAATAAAGACTTTAGCGGTACACAGAAGAACACTGGGATTTTCACCTTTAGGAAATGGCCCATCTTCTTACATGGTTGTGGTTCAATTTATGTTGTGCATTTTACATTCAACTGGCTGGCTTACAGAGCACCCAGATACCACCTATGTGAAAGGCTCCTGAGCAGATCCGCCAATCTTTACAATAACTGTGTGGCCACCCTGTCACCTTTCTTTTTCTTTGAACATCATACACAAATGAAAGCTTTCATCTGACTTGTGAATGGCCTGCTCTTCTCCCTCAAACAAACACTCCCAGATTAAAAAGCAGACGGCATGCCCTCCTCCACATTCAAAACTCTTGCTAAAGTTAGGAGTAGCTGGCTATATATAAAGAATGTAGGTTTGGGTCCAGAGAGAGTTAGATTAATATCCTGGCTTGACCAGTTCAACTCACCGTACATCTTCATTTGCCCGGTAACACAATCTATAGCCAACTGCTAACCAAGTCAATATGTGGTAAGACTAACAGCCACCCTAACTTGCCTTGATAATTACTCTCCTTTAACTGACATAATATTCAATATACTGTTGTTGAGAGCAATAATGCTAAAATTGATGCCTTGAGGGCTACAAGACAACTGAGTTTTAGCCAGATAAAATGACTTGTACACTAAGAGTGCATTATAGGGCTCCCCAGGTCTCAGATGAACATTTTATAGTCTACCTGTACAAAAATGTTACATATAATTATTTCAGAGTCATTTGTGCATACCTCATCATTACCACACGTAATTCTAAAGTACTGGCTAGTAATCAAGAGCTGGCCTAAAGCTTGAGAAGAAAGGGGATGTTTTTATAGCCCAAGTCCTTTTGTCTTTTACAAAATGAATGCTTTCTCAATGAGGATTTTTTAATGTTTTTGTGTCCTGCAACCTTTTGCTTTTATTCTAACCCAGAAGTGCTTTATACAGAACAAGTATATGATAAATGTTAAACAACAGAACATGCCATTTAAAGAAAATCAATACTACGTCAATTCTATCAATAAAAGAAGAAAGAAACTAAGCTTAGAGTTCCTCTAAAATGCAAAATCTATGATTTTCTAATTCTAGAATCTTAAGAAATAACACATTAAATTTAAGATTTGTTAAATTTTACATTAATGAAAATTAATCATAATTATGTTAATGGCAATATTCTTTATATGTAACATTTCCTTTCCCATTAAGAAGCTTTATATAAAGAAGCGTCTATATTTCTCTCTGTATATGTATATATATATACATATACAGAGAGAAATATATATATATGTATATATATATATATGTTCACACTTCTCATGCAACTATCTCTTATACAAAATAAAATCTACAGTATGTTTGAAAGAAGTATGTTTTCTATACTTTAGGTATATAATAGAATACTGGGGAAATTAATACATAAATAATTATTTCGTAATTTTATAAAAGCTCTGGTCAAATCAGAACAGTAGAAAACAGCAGTGTTACATGGATAAAAATTCGCAGGTTTTCTATTAACTGACAGCAAACTGTGACAGGACTTAATGCAGAGTTGCTACAATGGTAGAACAGTGTAGCCATTACACATTTGTTTGCTTGAATAGGAAGACACAATAATATGCTCCATTTATCTAAGGAAAAAATCAGTGATCAAGTACTAAAACACAGTATTGATGCAGATGCTAGCACCTCTGCAGAGACAGTAAAGATATTACTAGACAGGCTTTTGAATAAAGGAAAACTGTTAGCTAAGCTAAGGACTCTAGGCAGACATCTGTAAGGTTTCTTTCTTTGTAAAAAATAAGTATGTATCCAAAGAGATGCTAATGATGTGGTAACTACTGAGGGAAGACTTGGTACTCCAAGGGTCTCAGTATAAGCAATGACTGTAAAACTGGTTCCATGCGTTTTTTTTGTTTTTTTTTTTTGTCCTGGCTCTTCATTCTGGATCTTGCACTCTTTCATAATGCCTGGCTCCTAAGACTTATCTGTCCATTTGCTTCATTGAAATAGCATCTGAATGAGAATGTTTCCTACAGGCTCATATATTTAAGCACTTGGTGCCCAGTTAGTGGTGCCGTTTGGGGAGGTTTCGGAAGTGTGGCCTTATGGGAGAAAGTAAGTCATTGGCAGTAGGCTTCAAGAGTTTAAAGTCTTGTCATTTCTGGTTGTGCTCGCTGTTTCATGTTTATGGCTAAAATATGAACATTCAGCTCTCTTCCCTTTGCCACATCTGCTACCTGTTGTCTCTGCCTTTACACCATAAGCCACGGTGAAGTCTTCTGTAAGTCACCTTGGTCATGGGGATTTACCAAAGCAACAGAAAAGTAACACATACAAACTGAAAATGCCATATTTAATTATTGTCATCCTCAGTCCATCTTCTGTGGGCCAAAGCTTCTGTGCGTTCCAAGCTAAGGCTCCCACTGAACTAAAAAGTCAACCAATTATGTGGGTAAAAGGTTGGTCTACCTCATCTTCAACTTTTCCTGTTTCTACTCACTGTCTGCTGTTCTGTCCTCACTGATCCTGGAGGAAGCATGTAAAAGAAAGCCATGAGTGTGTATGTTCTCATCCCAGATTAAAGCCTGGAGAGACTGGGGGCTTGCCACTCAATATAGATGCAGTCTGTGTAATACGTCTGGCAGCTAAGGACTTGCATATTGCATGGGCTGGCTCAGATCATAAGCATCAGCTTTATCTGTGGTACTAGACAGGCTGGCATGGTCATAAACATCTTTCTTTTTGAACGCTCAGTTCTGGACACACCTCCACAGAAAACGTGAAAGGAGACTTTAGATTCTATCTCTCAAATGAAATTTCCTTCAACATAAGACAGTATTCTATCATCCAGATTTTGGGTCCCTCAATGTGTTTTTCTCAACATTTATCCCTTAAAGGTTTTAGGAAAGCAGACAGACATGAGAAATTTCAGAGGCAATGACTTATGGTATAGCACCCAAAAGGTAATGAGAGATGGGTCCTGTTGGTAGGGCAAAGGGCATAGGCTTCCCAGATAAATCTGAAGCCCTCACCACATTAGAAATGTCACTAGAATAAAGGAGGGGCTCCAGGTCACAAGATGGCCATCCACATGTATATTTTCCAGTATTTCTAGCTCTGAGAATACAACATTAGAGTTTGCAGGATATGCAGACAGTTTATGTAAGTGATAGTTCTTATGATTTGGGTGAAGCCATAAGAAATAGTAGAAATGGTGAGGGTTCACAGCACTCAAGAGAAACACCTTCACAAACCCAGCTGGATTTTCAAAACTACCCATGTATCTCAAAGATGGTAAGACTTAGTAAGAGAAATAAGACAGCCCACTTTGAGTCAGGCAGTGGTGATGCAGGACTTTAACCCCAGCACTCTGGAGGCAGAGGCAGAAAGTTCTCTGTGAGTTAAAGCCCAGCCTGGTGTATAGCTCGAGTTCCTGAAAAGCCAGGGCTATACAGAGAAAGCCTCTCCCAGAAAAACAAAAAAACAAAATAAAACAAAAAGACAGCCCACTCTGGACATGAGGAGTTGAACTCAAAGCAACACCAGCCAACAGACCACTTTTCACTTCAGTTATACACTGTTGAGGCTTCACAACAGCCGGCTCCCCGACCAGTGAGAGTATACCTAGCTGGACATACAAGAGAAGAAGAAAACCAGCTGTAGACAGAACTTTAATCGAACCCACCCAGAGGTGGCCCAGACTCAATGCTCAAATCCTCCCCTACCTGAAGGATGTATCCACGGACATAGTCCCTCAGGGTCCAGCCCAGGCCATGTAATATGTGCAGTACTTCCTCTTGCTTCAGGACACTGAAGAGCCGGTCCAGCAGTATCTTTAGCCTCACTGGCACCGCCTGTGTCCCGTAGAGCATCAAGCTGCTGATGTCAAACACCACATTGGACTGCACGATCTCCACTTGAGTGGGGTGGTACAGGTGCTGTGTGCTGAGCTTATCCAAGGCTGTGGTCATCCCACCGATGTCCCAGGAATGAGGTGGGGTTAAGGAGACAGAGAGGACAAAAACATTAGAAACATTATTGGACATTATCTTGTCACACAGCTCATAACCATAGATATTTAAGCAAGAGCCCCCTCTTCCCGTTCTGTCCAATTTTTAATTTGGTATTTACAAATGAGAGACAACATCAGACAAAACATCTAACTTATAGAAAGTCACTGAGGATTTTTTTTAATATCTGTGGCTTTTTCTAAAAATATGACTAATTAATTCGCTAATTAAACTCTAGCTCAAGTTATCACAGTGCTTTCTATTCCCTTACACAAACACAGGAATCCAAATTCTCACTGCAAAAACAGGTTCTACCGTTATCGCTTGTTCAAGAGTCACCTCCTCAACCAGGTACAGTGGCACAATGCATCCTAGGGCCACTGTGAACTATTTAGTGAGACTGTCCTTCACGACAGAAAAGGAGTCACCTCTGCCAACACCCCTTATAATTCCTAAATGGCTTAAAGGAGAGGAAGGTTATCTCCTAAGCCACAGAGTTAAAGGCCTAGCTCCAACAACTCAGGGTGAAGACTGTGTATCTGTAATCGCAGGACTCAGGGGACTGATAGAGAGAAGTGTGAATTCAAGCCAGGCCTGGGATACACAGAAATTATCTCACCCAAAACAACCACAACCAAGCCTGAGTCAGAAAGAATAAGGAAGGCAGACACTTGTGTGGAGGGCTAAAAAAATACAACTCAAATTAGCTAAGGGAGATTTTCTCCAAATTTCTCTACTGTTTTCCTCTGGGATAGCTTTGCCTTCACTAACATGGTATCGGGAAGTTACTTGGTTACCTTGTTAGTATGTTCTTACAAGGGTGTCAGATGAAAACAGAAACACCTGGAAGTTTCTGTGATTTCAGCTAATGAAATTACCTTGTGGAGAGAGTCGAGGATGGCCATTCTTAGGAATTTCACATGTCAGTAACTCCTCAGCTCTACGAAACGACATCTCTCCTCTAATGTTAAAGCCCTTAAGGTAAGATCCAGAGTTTCATTCCCAATTCATATCTGAGTTACTGGGAATCCTACTGCTGAGAATATAAAGTATGTGTCCTCCGCTTCTCCACTGTAAATGATCAAGGCGGCAGGGCTGAGAGATACTGTAAGACTCAAGAGAAGGCCCAAGAAAGGCACCCATAACTCCTCATGAGGACCCAAAAGGTGTGGCAATTAACTGCCAGAATTATACACTAGAGAGTATATACCCTGGAGAGTAAAACTGCAAACACTGTAAACTGTGGAATGAACATCTAACCTCCTAAATCAGGCAAATAGATATCAGACAGTGCTTTGTCTTAAGTTAGAGATACACATGAGAATACCCAGGGTTCCTGAAGATTCTAGGCTACTGAATGGCCTGTGTCAAACCCTTTCTCAAACACTTCGCCTCACAGAAGTATTGCCTACAGTCCAAACCCAAGCTGAGCACCCCCAATTTAAACACACCAGCACCTCTGCATAGTAATGGAGATACTCAGAAGAGCATGCACACAGAAGGGTGTTTTTCCTTTTTTAAAAGTATGTCTAATGTATTTTTTAGGGCTCCTCCTCCACTCTCATTTCTTCCTGACTTGAAGCCACTAGAGAGTTCATGTACTCTTGATAAATTGCTTTCTTACATCCACAGTGTAAAGGCCCTTATCATTTACCCGCTGGCTTCATTCAACACATTTACTCCCAGGAATACTTTGTCAAAGAGTTCGGGTTTCCCCATACTTCATTTCTTGCAGCTGATTTGTCTGATCTCTCCTGTTCTGGTGGTTAAGTCAACTTTGAATAAATAGCTTTAAAAATTAATTTAACGTTTGGGAAAGATAAGGGATTCACAAGCCTGCAGTCTGAAGTCTTCTCTCACTCCACAGGGCATTTCTGCTGCAAACGGCAAGGGAGGGGTGTTACTATCTGGCTCTGCAAGTACAGCGTGCAGAGCTGTGCAGCCTTCTGATCGGCTTGAGCCTAGTGTTAAGCTGGGGGAAATCTGCTCCTCTGCCACTTCTCTGTCACCATCCCTCCCCAACTCCATCAAATAATCTTGTGCTTGCGCTCAGGCCGCAACAAATGAGACATTGAAAGACTCACGGAGAAAGGATATGACATCAAATCCTGAATCTCATGCATGCGTTTGGCATTTTGCGACTTTGCAAGGTAAATGCAAACTTTACGTTCTGATGTGCTCAGTAACCAAAGGGAAAGAAAGTGTTACCCCATGTTCCAAGCCATTAAGAGGCTAAGGGGCTGGTGGTTTCAAAAGAGGAAGAGACCAAATTGAGAATGGGGAGGAGGCAGAGATTTTCAGTTAACCGTGACAGCACAAGTAAAGTATTTAAGGCAAAAATATTTTCCCCCTAATTACCGTTTATATATAAATATATATTTATATAATATATAAATAAATGAAGATGAGGAAATTATATATATACATAATATATTATTTATATATATATATATATTTTTTTTTCAGATGCTAGAGCAGAAGATGTTTGGCTAGTCAGTCAACAGTAGTAATGACAAAGCCCTACCAGTCCACAATGAAAGGTTCTCGAGAGTCCAGGAGATGCAGTACAGAGAAGGCCATGCAGACTGAACATCACAGTTGGCAGGTATCTGCCCTAACACACCCTGAACACAACACCACAGAGTGTCATTCCGTTAAGGTTCCACCCTACACCAAGAAAGTCTGCTTCATGGTTCCAGTATCTGGGGAATCACCAAGATGTTAGTTTTGAGACAGGGATTAACTATGTAGCCCTGGTTGCTTCAGAACTCTTGTGTAGACCAAGCTGCCCACCTACTCAGATCTGCCTGCTTCTGCCTCCTGAATTCTGGTATATAAGCCACATGCAACCACACACAGCTGAGTCGCCAAATTTGGACAGCATGTGGAGAAATCAAAATAAGAAGTTAGTCTATTAATGGACTTAAGATGAGCCAATCCGAAGCTGGACTCTGTGGAACTTCACTATCTCCCCAACTATGGAGGATGCAGAACTAACTCGTGCATGGTTAGAAGCACAAGTTAGGTCAACGAGGAAAAGCAAATTTGTCTTATTCCCTGACCATAACAATGGTGGCATGATGGGCTGTAAGATCAAATTCAGGACGTTACTGACAACTAGTGAGGATTCTTCTTTTCCTCTGTATTTGTAGCTAATATAAGAGCTTGTAAACAGGAATCCTATGAACTGAGCATGCTGGGCTAAAAGATAATCTGAGAAACGCCACACACCAGTCCTAGTTATGTGCTTGAGATTCAGAACGCATCAGTTACATGAATCTAATAATCAATCAATCAATCAATCAATCAATCAGTCTCCCTCAATCTCAATCCCTTATTCCTTCCCTCTCTCAAATTGAAACCAAAAATTAAAATACAGTCATAAATTCTATTTCCCATCCATCAGAATTACTGGAAACACTGCCACTGTTTCAACTGCCTTTGGAGGAACTTCTCTGGGCAGACAGATGCAATTTCAAATATATTGCCAGGTTCAACTGAAGGTATGTTTTCCCAGTCCAAATAAAATTCATAATTTCTGCAGTGACTGAAATAAGGAATATTCTAAAGAAGCTGACTTTCTATAAACTGCACAGAGTGATGTCTTTAACAGCCTTAGTGAAGAAAAATAACCATAAGATGAATGAGTAAGGGAAATGGCCATGTTAGCACTTGCTGCACATCCTGTATCATTCTAGGGTTCATAATCAGTTCATTTAATTTTAACACTAGAAAATACATCATGTTACAATGATCATATATCTTAAGATCACAGGCTAAATTGAGTCAGTTTACCAACCAAAAAAGTAATTCAGTAATTTCACCCAGGAAAATTCTGTTTCTGTATGTTTAGATAAGCAGTCAGTAAGAAATGTCTAAGTCCTTATCATGTTGGACAACCCTAACTTCCAGAAATCTGGGCTTCCTGCCCATCACTCTGCTGAAGCAAGCATTTCAAAGGTCACCAACACCTGCCTTACTGTGAAATCCAATAGATTTTTCATTCATTATTCTACGTGATCTCTCCAGAGCAGCTAACCTTATTGATCACAGCTCCCCCTAAAACGCTGTCCTTCATTCATGCATACATTCACACGCTCATCAGCACTTACTAACAGTGAGCAGGGGCTATATGGTGATGAAAAGTAATTTATGTTGTGGCCTCCACCTTCAAAGACAGACAGATGAAGGAGATGCTCACGCTGTAAGAGAGGCTCCATAAAGGGGCTGTGGTACAGGGGGAGAGCACAAGTCTGTCAGGAAGGCATGGTCTTCTAAGTGAATTAGGATACAAGTCGGGGAGCAATACAGGCAGATGGAATCAAGGCAGAGGTTCTCAGTCATCGTGGGCACAGAAACACCTGAAAGGCCTGTGAGATCACAGATAACGGGGCTGCTTCTCCCAGACTTTCTGAGCCACTGCATATCCAGCGAGTGTTCACTAGGAGGGGTCTCTTGGACATCAGAAAAGCCCTTCACATTCTCTAAATTCAGTTTAATTATTTTCCTGGGCCTTTATAATTTTCAAAACACACTGGAAAAAAAATCTATAGAATATAAATTTCACATAATTTCTTTCAGAAACTATGTTTACTACTTAAAAAGGTAGTTATCACCTATTCAATCAAACAGCATAAAATACTTCACAATCTTTGCTTCCTATAGTTACACACATATATAAACATGTACACATGTGTATACCACACATACAAACACACTGATTTCGAAACTGATTTCAATTATCATTATTCAGAACTTATTTTATCTTATGAAGTTTAGAATATTTTCTACTAGAGACTAGAGACCTACTGACAGACTGTATTCAGCTTATCAGTAAAATGACATGAAAATAAATAAATAATAACAAAGATGTTAATTGTTATCAGGATATACTTTCTTTTGTTATAAACACATAAACGTTGTCATCACTGTATACCTAGAAAAGTTAGTA